ATGTTACGTTGAACCGAAAATGCTAATTTGCGTGGCCCCAACTGTCCCAATTTTGTCCCGTAACAACCTATTTACTTGTTATTAAACTAGAAATATACACAATCACTTTCCACAATGTGAATAAACCTTAACATTCTTCCCCTCCATAATTGAATATAGGATTATTTCCTATCCCAAAAATGGGTAAATAATTTAAAGTTCATTTAATTTTTTCTAAATGTCATTTTCTCCAAATTCCGAGCAAGGTTCAAATAAGGTATATTATTGAGGATAAATAATAAAAAAGTTATCGATTTTATGTTTATATCGCCTATTATTAATTCATTTGAAGTATATTGAGTTGTATAGGTAAAATTGGGACGAGGGTTTCTTTTGAGAAAATATAAAAAAAATAAGCCTATTTTAAGTCCTTCATTGATATCTGCTATTCAAATTCTTACGATTGATTTGAATATTGAAAATTTCTATGGTAAAGGAATGTATTATATAAAAATAAATATTTTAATTTACTGTTACTTTCTTGCATCCCTTCTTTAATTAGTAATGAAAATAAAAATACTTAAAATTGAACATTTATAAGTTTTTACTTGTATAAAAGATGCACGTTTGGTAAGTTGACAAAATTTACAAAATTTGCAATATCTAAAATAAAAATATATATATATATGTTTCTCGTTTTCAATTCACTGAGACGCGATAGATTATTGCTTCAAAATTCTTTAGTCGACAGAACATTGCGTATTATTTTGACATCATCCGTTATAAGTGTAATAACGGGTACCCACTGCGATTACTAGTGAAGTGGTCGTAGCAATGAAGACATTATCTTAATTTAAAGAGAAGTTCATCCAATAAGTTAATGACGATTTATTAATTTCGAAATTTAGAAGAGATAATTTACATTCAAGTTATTTTGAATTCCTTTATACATATATATTATTGAAATTCGCTGAACAACTTGAAATGACAAATTTTTGTAATCACAGCAAACATGGTGTTTAACTTGATTTTCTTTTTTTTTACATAATTATGTTTGCTAATAATAAAAGAAAGCATTATTATACATTATGGACAGTAAAGACTTTTACTTGATTTGATTATTAAATCTAGTAACAAAAAAAAAAAAAAAAAAAAAAAAAATCTCCTTTAGATCTTATTGGAGGGAACCTGTAATGTTATTCACCGATAAATGTATTAATTAGCGAGTTTTTCTAATCCAACTTTTCATTAAGAATTTGGTGTTACATGATACTTCGTCTGATGTCATTTGCGTATTAAACCAAATTCACCCACGTGATTAGTAATTTTGGGCTAAAAAACGTAAAAATCTTCGATAAATTTTTTTTTGGAGTTTTTCAAATATTCTCATTTGCACTTTCTAAAGTCAATGTTTTAGTAAGACTCTTGCGACGTTTATGATTGTGCTATTAAACAATTGCTGGCAAGCCGCATTACTGGAAGATATTGACATTAAAGGTAACGAAATAAATGCTAATTTTTCATTTTTTTTTTTTTTTTAAATTTATTGACATATTTCTTTAATTACGATTATTATATCTTTAAGATCAATTGGTTTTGCTTTATTGCATTATAGTACCCTCAAGAATTTTAGATATAATTCTATCGCTCATCCCAATTGCTAGAATTTCTGTAAGACTATGTTAATATAACTCGTAGAATCAGATATCTAAAAAGATAATAAAGTATTGTAATATAGATCTTATACTGGATTCTCCTCATCAACTGATTCTTCTTATGGGCCTCATATTTAGATATAGTATCAGCTTTCATAACCGTAATTATTGGTCATGTTCCTTCGTCGTCATCCTTGGTACAAGTCACAATCAAAATGATGAAAAGGACATATAAATACTTAATGAAATCTTTGCTGAGATTATACATTGCTAATTCTGCATCAAAATCTATAAACTGGACATTTAGAGACTTAAAATTGCATCGGAATTTGGATTTGGTGTTAGATTACACTTCATAAAAAGTGCTTGGATTAGTGTGTTTAAAAGTATTGTTGCTTGATACTTTATCAGATCAGGCACAGATGCTTAGCTCGTGCCACGTCTAGTTGTAATGATGGTTTGTGCGCATATTATTATTATTATTATTATTTGCAAAGTGTATTTTAATAAGTTTGATCAATTTTAATACATGGATCTAGTGTCGCATATCTTACTTCTATCATGGTTCCTGGAACTTCTTCACGAACTATTATCAAAATGGCTTTTGTATAAGAACTTTTAAAGAAGTGTGATCAAGTTGTAGAAATTTTTGTTTCAGAACCTCCAAACATTTTCCCCTTATCGAACTATTTCAGATGTTGGAAATCCTGGCGTTCTCGTGTAATTACTTTTGGAATATGTTAACTATAGTATCAAATTTTTATTTAAGAGGGTCAATTTTCAGGAGGTTTAGAAGATAGTTCAATAGGTGCATTATCTGAACGAGGTATTATATTAATCAAGTTTCACGGAATTCATCAACAAGATGATCTTTATGAAACAAAAGCTAAGGCTTGGGAAGTTTATGGTTTTGGAAGACTTATCAATGTTTAACATGGATGAGATCACGGAAACGTATTGTTGAAATACTCAATTGAACAAGCGTAGTTGGTTATTAAAGCTGGTGCTAATTATTATGATAAGTTAGGATATTCAATTGATTAAATTTACCAATAATTTATATATTGGTGCGCAAAGTCCAATGTTAATAACCAACCTTTATTGACTGCGCTTACTTAGGTGCAGCTTTGGTTCACAATGAGCCATCAACCTCTCTAATTGGGAGTTATTCTGATGATTTTTCAATCGTGGGGTATCGAATTCAATCATAACGTTAGCGCCGCCTATGATCCTTACAAAATTCATCACGAAGATTTAACATAATCTGAATTCGAGAATGATATTTCTAATCATTGGACGGCAATCTGGTAATTATTTCACCTTTGGTTTCTTGGGGGGACTAGTCCTTCACAATTCAGGACTCGCAGGTGATCCTATCATTGCAGCTAACATCAATTGGTGGTTGGCGCCATCAATTTCATATTATTTCGGACTTTTTTATCTTGAATCTTAGGGTTTATAGAACAACTTGTACCGTAATGGTTGATGAAGAAACCCTTTGTCCTCTCAAATTGAACAACCTCAACCATCAAATAATCTCAATGAGTGTAAAGAAGGTTTAACCGTAAATTATTATTTGCGTGTTATGATAATTGTCGCGGTTTTTTCTTGCTTATTAGTCCGGAACGAAGTGAAGGATTTAGAGGATTTAGCCAATTTGATGTCCCAATGTCCGCCCGCTCAATAATTGAGTCGATTCTGGTTGGTGATGAAAATACTCCTCTGTCCGCCTGCTCAAAATTTGAGTCGATACGTGGTTGGTCCCTTCCGTTTCCGGACTTAACAATGGTTTCCGAAACCGTTCCCTTATATAGAGAAGAGACTGTCGTATACTCCTAATTGAGAAAAGAAATATTTTTTTTTCCAGTCATAACACCAATACTCGAGAACAGTTACAAACTACTAGGACCATAGCATCGATCTTCAAGAAAGATTGTATTATGGAGGGAGTCAGCATTAAATTTAGAAATTCCTGCATTGAAATTTTAGACAATGGATTATAAGGGAGTTGATATTATCGGTGGTGGCGATGTGCTTGATTCAGTTTAAGATTGTACTGCAATAGATGCTAATCATTGAACCAGATAACATTGGAATTTTAAAGTTTTATAAGTGAAAGTACAACTTCGAATGTTAAAATAATAATCTATTTACTGTATATTTCCTTTTATCTCATTAATGTATTAATGCTGTCTTTTATCATAGGGTTAGATGGCATCATTTTCGCTAATACAATAATATACATGGGTGTCAAAGAATCTGGATATTTGAAAAGGAAAAATTACAATGTTAAAATTGCTTATGATTTAGTTTCTCTCAACTTCACCATTCATAGAGTCAAAAAGATAGAAAAGATTCTTAATATTTTTGTATTTACGTCATCATAAGCAATACGTGTAAATGAAATTGTCATTATTTTTCGGTGCTGAATCAAGCACATCGCCACCACCGAAATATTAATCACATTCTAAAAAAAGGTAACGATAGCGAAACGTTGAAATTTTCTGATGTAGCTAGGCTGGCGTAAAAAATGAGTGATGATTTTGATTCGTATTCCCATTTATCCTGTGGAAACAGAAACCGGAAAATGATAAAATTAAAAAAAAAACCACCAGCTTTTAATCAAGTTCAACAATTCCCTCAAAGTCACTAATAAATCTAAATAAGAAAAATAAGGGACTTGTTGAGAAAGTCCATAAATAGAATAGATTGAAACTTTTTTGTCTCAAAGACAAAGGTATCGCATCATTCTAACATTCTAATCGCATAAAAAATTATTATTTCATCCCTAATCTTTGGAATTTCCAAAATAGATTTTGAACAGTGGCGTAGCTTTATAATGTTGCTTGAATAAAAGACCATCGATCCTTTTTGGGTTAAATTACAAATGACGCCACATGTGACACATCGACATATCTGTTTGTTTAGTATATAATGTATATCATATTATAACATAATTAATTTATTTACTCCTTACAATGGTCTCCTAAATTGGAGCAATTGAAAATAAATTATTTTTTATGATTGTGATAAATTTAGTTTAGTAGAATGACCATAATGGTATTATAAAAAGGAGAGAGTTTTTTTTTTTTTTTACGGTTCTGTTTTCCTTTAAATTATTTTATTTATATTATTTATGTTCAAAGTTTATCGTAAAATATTATTTCTTTCAAAGAAAAAATTTCCCCCATTTTTTTTTTTCCTTTTTTTTTTTTTTTTTTTTTTTCTTCCTTATACGCTTTTCTCATTGAGATTTAATCTCTTTTAATATTGGCTTCTTTTTTTTTTTTCGTTAACGACTATTTATTAAAAAAAAAAAAAAAAAAAAATATTAATTAAATTAATAAAAAAGTTATCCAATCAATCATGGCTCCTTTCTTACCGACGGATTGTTTATCTCAAATATTTCGAAATCTAGAAACAGATCAAAAATCGTTATATTCATGTATATTAGTGAACCGGTTATGGTGCGCGACCTCGATTGAATTTCTCTGGAGTAGACCATTTCGTTTCTTATACACATGTCCAAATCCTTGTTCGTGTGATGAAGTTTCGAGAATTGAAAGATCTTCAAAGCTAATCAAAGTATTTCTAAGTTGTCTCAACGAAAAAGAAAAGTTGCAATTAAAGGAAAATAAAGTTCATCTACCTTTATCCGTACAACAAAGTCCTTTATTCGATTATGCTGGATTCATACGATATTTGGATTTGGATGAATTTTATACCGCCATAAGGGATTGGATCGATTTCGCTCACGTCGTCAGTAAGGAGGAAGAGATTCGAGAAGCGATGGAGTTGCGAAAAAAATCAAAAAAATTAAATAAGAAATTAAAATTATCAACCGTGGTTAAATTCTTAAGCAAATCCATGGGTTATCATAATAAACGAAAATCTGAAAGTGATAAGGAGAGTGTAAATAGCCTAAGTAGTAGCGGAAGCAGTGTAGGAGGAAATAACCCACCACCCAGTCCAATCGTCCCTCATCCACGTGAAAGGTTAATTACGGAATCTTTATGTGGTTTATTAATGAGGAGAAGTGTGACTTTGAAACAATTATCTATCGATAAAACTCATTCAACAAGATCAAAGTTTGAACCTAGGTGTTTGACCTTGCCACCATGGATGGATAGATTTCGTAATCATCGTTTCATACCCGATGAATACCTTTCATTGGCAACTTACCCAGGCGCCATTAATTGTTTATCACATTTAAACGAATTCATCTTTACCACGCGACAATCCAAGACGAAGATATTCGACTCTCTTTGCTTAACTTCTCACAATTTGCATACAATCGTGGTTACGATGGACTTTCACTCTAATGGATGGTGTGGAACTCGTTCACGCCGAGAAGTTATGGAACTTGAGGATGAAGCGAAAAGTTTGGCAAATTTGATCAAGGCGCAGCAATCCTTACAAAATTTCGAATTACATCAATGTGAAGTTGGGTCTGCGGTCATCATCCAATCATTACAAACTCAATCAAATTCTTTACAATCGATATGTTTCGATGAAGTTAGTTTTTGGGGATGGGACCCGTTAACTTCATTAGAAGAATGTCTTAAATTACAAAAGTTGGTATTTCGACATTGTCATGGTCTTACTACTGAATTATTGGAACCTTTGATAACTACAAAGTTCGACAACCTTTTGACATTACTAATGGATGCCTCATCAGCTCCTGCGCATATCCTTGACGCGATTATTAAGAATTCAGGACATCGTATTCAAACGTTGAACTTGGGATTGTTTAAACCACATCCGACCGTGCACCTTATTGAAACGGTGGCAACGTATTGTCCAAATTTAACAACTTTCAGTTCTTACGTCGATATCGATGAGATCAATCATTTGGTCGCGTTGTTTACACTTTGTACAAAACTTTCTTCCGTCACGTTAACCGGACCGCGTAATTCAGAAATCAATGTTGATAAAATGTTTCTTCAATTCGCCCGACAAGATTTATCAAATCTGAAGGAACTTAATATATTAGGGCCTTGGTCGTTTACACCCGAAGCACTTGATAAATTCTTGACGTGCTCCAAAGCTCCTATACGTACTTTGCGTATTGATAATTGTCGTTGCTTCACCGATAGTCATTTGGATGTCATCATTCATAGTTTGAAAAACACCTTAGAAGCACTACGATTGCACATAAGAAATCGATTAAACGAAGAATCAATTATTCGTGCAAAAGAATTTGTTGATTTGGAAATTGAAAAATTTGAATTTGTCCATAGGGTAAGCAATAATAATGATAATAACAATCGTGGCGGTAGTTTTAAGCCCAAATTTTGTAAAAAATTTTTGATGGAAAGAAGATTGAAAAGATGAATAAGAATAATTTGAAGATTTGGAATTTTTCATTCACAACAAAGAATTTATAAACAATTTTAATATTATATATTTTTGATCATATCATATTGAACGATTTAAAATTTTTAATTTTAACACTTAATTAATAATGTAGTATAATGATTTTTTTTTCTTTTATTTCCCTTAGTCTAGTATTATTATATTGATAATTTTTTTTAATTTTACTTATTATTTTCATTAATCTCTTAATTAATCGCGCATTCTTAATATTTAGTTTACTCCATCTATTATTACTCTGGAATAAGAAGATGAAGTCTCGATATCATGAACACCTTTTTTTTTTGTATAATAGTTTTATATCTTTGTGTAATTTAATTTGATAGTTATCCCGTTATAATTTAGTAGTAATTTTTCGAGTGAAATTTTATGATATTTTATCTTTTTTTGCTCAGGATCCAAGAAGGAAAAAATGAGTTGAAGTTTTTTTTTTTTTTTTTATTCTTCTTATTTAAGGACATTTTGAACTATCAATATATGTTTGTATATTATTTATTAATTTAGTTTTTTTTGGTATCGTCATGAAATTTGTAAATGTAAAATAACTTTGTATATTAAATATTTTTTTTTTTTTGATTTTTGTAAATTATACTTGTTGATAATTTTAATAAAAATACAAAGTTATAAAAAAAAATTTATTCCTTCCGAGCAATTTTTTTTTTCCATTTTTGTACGTATGACTCAGAACCAACAAAAAAAAAAAAATTAAATTAAAATAAAAAAAATAGTAGGTAAATAAAGAAGGCTCGATGACCATCAACCATTACGACAGAAACTTTAGAATGACCCATTTAAATTTTTGACCATGATCAAGAATTCCGATGCAGAATAAGTTTCAACATTTCAATTCTCATGCCTTAAATGAAGGTAATGCCAATAAAAGAAATGAAGAAAATGAAGTCTTCAACAAAAAATTTTACCTTTTTCTTTTATTATGCATGCTAAAATGCGTTTGGTTAATTAAATTACGTGATGCATATTTTTAAACTATTATATTCTTTTTCAAAAATCGTGACTTATGGTAATCAAATAAAAAATTGAATTTTTGATGATTTTCCCTTTAGTCGAATAACTTATTGAAATTTTCGTGTCAAAAGTCTTCAATAAAATTTAATCCATTTTAGCGTTGTCCTTTTGAAAGAATCTGTGGATTCAGATTCATATTGCATTACAAGTCTCTTTTTGAACCCGCAAAGAAAAATTTTAGTGTAAAAATATTAATTTTATGGGTAAAGAAAATTTTCTTTATATTTCGCAGCAATGACATATTTCTATTATAATTTTAAGTCAAGGTCATTTGAAAAAAAAAAATAGTAAATGACTTATAATTTGCCAACACTGCTTTCTCTGGATTCCTAGGTGCATATGGATCAACCGACGACATCAACCATTCAACCATCCGAACGATAATTCAATCTGCTCTTTGACATGATGATCCTTAAAAATTGACGCGAAAAAGTATCGAGTAGTTGAATAATAAAGGCATTGTAAAAATTTTTATCTTTGATTAATTGGTAAATTTGTTATTTAGATTCGTAATGTTCATTGCTTTTAACTTTTTATGAATGAAGTTTATAAAATTTAAATAATATTTCAAGGAAACTATCTTGTAACTATAAGTTGTTAATATTGTTGTATTAACAATAAAAATTATGAAAGTTATCCCAACAAAAATTGATATGGTTACCCAACAAATTGATCTTCGTAGGCTAACCAAAATTATCGAAGGCGATTTATGAAAATGATTTTTCGGGCTTATGGTTCTCGTCATTTCTTGTTGCTTTCCTTTGATTTTACTACTAATTCCAATATTTAATACGGAAAATGCTCACCATTAATTACTCCAACCCCGGGTCCCCGGGTCAATTTTAAATTTTAATGTTACGTTGAACCGAAAATGCTAATTTGCGTGGCCCCAACTGTCCCAATTTTGTCCCGTAACAACCTATTTACTTGTTATTAAACTAGAAATATACACAATCACTTTCCACAATGTGAATAAACCTTAACATTCTTCCCCTCCATAATTGAATATAGGATTATTTCCTATCCCAAAAATGGGTAAATAATTTAAAGTTCATTTAATTTTTTCTAAATGTCATTTTCTCCAAATTCCGAGCAAGGTTCAAATAAGGTATATTATTGAGGATAAATAATAAAAAAGTTATCGATTTTATGTTTATATCGCCTATTATTAATTCATTTGAAGTATATTGAGTTGTATAGGTAAAATTGGGACGAGGGTTTCTTTTGAGAAAATATAAAAAAAATAAGCCTATTTTAAGTCCTTCATTGATATCTGCTATTCAAATTCTTACGATTGATTTGAATATTGAAAATTTCTATGGTAAAGGAATGTATTATATAAAAATAAATATTTTAATTTACTGTTACTTTCTTGCATCCCTTCTTTAATTAGTAATGAAAATAAAAATACTTAAAATTGAACATTTATAAGTTTTTACTTGTATAAAAGATGCACGTTTGGTAAGTTGACAAAATTTACAAAATTTGCAATATCTAAAATAAAAATATATATATATATGTTTCTCGTTTTCAATTCACTGAGACGCGATAGATTATTGCTTCAAAATTCTTTAGTCGACAGAACATTGCGTATTATTTTGACATCATCCGTTATAAGTGTAATAACGGGTACCCACTGCGATTACTAGTGAAGTGGTCGTAGCAATGAAGACATTATCTTAATTTAAAGAGAAGTTCATCCAATAAGTTAATGACGATTTATTAATTTCGAAATTTAGAAGAGATAATTTACATTCAAGTTATTTTGAATTCCTTTATACATATATATTATTGAAATTCGCTGAACAACTTGAAATGACAAATTTTTGTAATCACAGCAAACATGGTGTTTAACTTGATTTTCTTTTTTTTTACATAATTATGTTTGCTAATAATAAAAGAAAGCATTATTATACATTATGGACAGTAAAGACTTTTACTTGATTTGATTATTAAATCTAGTAACAAAAAAAAAAAAAAAAAAAAAAAAAATCTCCTTTAGATCTTATTGGAGGGAACCTGTAATGTTATTCACCGATAAATGTATTAATTAGCGAGTTTTTCTAATCCAACTTTTCATTAAGAATTTGGTGTTACATGATACTTCGTCTGATGTCATTTGCGTATTAAACCAAATTCACCCACGTGATTAGTAATTTTGGGCTAAAAAACGTAAAAATCTTCGATAAATTTTTTTTTGGAGTTTTTCAAATATTCTCATTTGCACTTTCTAAAGTCAATGTTTTAGTAAGACTCTTGCGACGTTTATGATTGTGCTATTAAACAATTGCTGGCAAGCCGCATTACTGGAAGATATTGACATTAAAGGTAACGAAATAAATGCTAATTTTTCATTTTTTTTTTTTTTTTAAATTTATTGACATATTTCTTTAATTACGATTATTATATCTTTAAGATCAATTGGTTTTGCTTTATTGCATTATAGTACCCTCAAGAATTTTAGATATAATTCTATCGCTCATCCCAATTGCTAGAATTTCTGTAAGACTATGTTAATATAACTCGTAGAATCAGATATCTAAAAAGATAATAAAGTATTGTAATATAGATCTTATACTGGATTCTCCTCATCAACTGATTCTTCTTATGGGCCTCATATTTAGATATAGTATCAGCTTTCATAACCGTAATTATTGGTCATGTTCCTTCGTCGTCATCCTTGGTACAAGTCACAATCAAAATGATGAAAAGGACATATAAATACTTAATGAAATCTTTGCTGAGATTATACATTGCTAATTCTGCATCAAAATCTATAAACTGGACATTTAGAGACTTAAAATTGCATCGGAATTTGGATTTGGTGTTAGATTACACTTCATAAAAAGTGCTTGGATTAGTGTGTTTAAAAGTATTGTTGCTTGATACTTTATCAGATCAGGCACAGATGCTTAGCTCGTGCCACGTCTAGTTGTAATGATGGTTTGTGCGCATATTATTATTATTATTATTATTTGCAAAGTGTATTTTAATAAGTTTGATCAATTTTAATACATGGATCTAGTGTCGCATATCTTACTTCTATCATGGTTCCTGGAACTTCTTCACGAACTATTATCAAAATGGCTTTTGTATAAGAACTTTTAAAGAAGTGTGATCAAGTTGTAGAAATTTTTGTTTCAGAACCTCCAAACATTTTCCCCTTATCGAACTATTTCAGATGTTGGAAATCCTGGCGTTCTCGTGTAATTACTTTTGGAATATGTTAACTATAGTATCAAATTTTTATTTAAGAGGGTCAATTTTCAGGAGGTTTAGAAGATAGTTCAATAGGTGCATTATCTGAACGAGGTATTATATTAATCAAGTTTCACGGAATTCATCAACAAGATGATCTTTATGAAACAAAAGCTAAGGCTTGGGAAGTTTATGGTTTTGGAAGACTTATCAATGTTTAACATGGATGAGATCACGGAAACGTATTGTTGAAATACTCAATTGAACAAGCGTAGTTGGTTATTAAAGCTGGTGCTAATTATTATGATAAGTTAGGATATTCAATTGATTAAATTTACCAATAATTTATATATTGGTGCGCAAAGTCCAATGTTAATAACCAACCTTTATTGACTGCGCTTACTTAGGTGCAGCTTTGGTTCACAATGAGCCATCAACCTCTCTAATTGGGAGTTATTCTGATGATTTTTCAATCGTGGGGTATCGAATTCAATCATAACGTTAGCGCCGCCTATGATCCTTACAAAATTCATCACGAAGATTTAACATAATCTGAATTCGAGAATGATATTTCTAATCATTGGACGGCAATCTGGTAATTATTTCACCTTTGGTTTCTTGGGGGGACTAGTCCTTCACAATTCAGGACTCGCAGGTGATCCTATCATTGCAGCTAACATCAATTGGTGGTTGGCGCCATCAATTTCATATTATTTCGGACTTTTTTATCTTGAATC